CTCTTTACACAACTTGCTTTCCTATCTTCCCATCAGTGTCATCAAAAATTTGGTGGTCATACCTTCTGCCCCTTCATCCAAAAAATGTATAGAAATTGGGTTGAGGTCCCAACACAGAAGCATGCAACCTAATTTCCCCACCGATACTCCAGACTCACTTTCTACAGGGCTAGTGCTCATTTCGTTACTCTTTCTAAAATATTCATAGAAACTCTTGCTACCTGTTTTTATATTTCAGGCTAGCTTCATCTCACTCTTAAATTTTCCCTCAATAAAATTTGAATTTATTGATATATATTCTACCCAATCTTCAGACCTGCACTGGTGTTTCCACAATTATTTACTTTATATGTTATTTCTTCAAGTTTGAGTCTTTATCTACCTTTAACTTTCCCAAGTAATCACGGATGGTGCACCTATGCAAGATGTTTCTTACTGACTGGAATGCATCTTTTGTATATTCTGAAATAATTCCCTAACTAACTGCCACTGCATCTCTATGGGCCCCTATTAAATTAGTTACACAATTCTTTTCAGCCAGCTCTGCTTCCATTTCCCCAAGATTACCTTTTCTTCCCCAAGATTACCTTTTCTTCCCCAAAACGTAAACTCATACCTACTTCTCTCCCCCTCAAACTGAATGTGAAATTCAGTCACACTAGGATTGCTAGTACTGACAGGCACTTTCATCCTAAAATCATTAATTGGCACTATGTCATTGCATAATACAGCTCTAGCATTGTCTGCTCTCTGGTTCGCTCTAGAACATACTATGCAAAATAATGATCCTGAAAAAATTCTATGATCATCTTATTTTGGCTATATTTGCTCAGCTGGCTTCGAGTCTACATAGATGAAATCCACCGTAGTTACTACATTGTGGGGGCAGGGCGATGGGTGTTAACACCACACCAACAAGTGACTTCATAACTTTCCCATTTTTAGCCAAACAACTTCTGCATCCTGGTTTCCTGAATTTAGGTTATCCTCTCTATTGTACTAACACCACTACTGACACTTAGTCCTCAATTCCTGTCCTTCCCAACATGCTGCATCCTTCAATCATCAGATAAGGAGGATGCAGTGGAGATTGGCTAAGACAATAACCACTGAAGTTTAGAAGAATGCGTGGGGGATCCCAGCAACCTATAAAATTTTCACAGGACTAGCCAGGAAGGATGTACCTGATGACTGGTGAGTCCAGCACCAGATGTCAGAGTCAAAGGATACAGGGTAGGCAGATTCAAGAGGGTGCTGAAGCATGGTGACTGTTTGCAAGCTCGAGGGCAGATCTTATTCTTACATATCTTAAAATGGAGTTTTGAAAGTGCAGAACGATTCTAAGTCCATTACATTGTATCCTTCGCTCTGTTCTATTACCCTAATGCACTTTGTATGGTATGGTCCACTGTACTGCACGCAAAACAAAACAAAACTTTTCACTATACCTAGGTATATGTGACAATAACAAATCAAATCAAATTTAGGACGGAGATGAAAACAAATTTCTTCACCCATAGGGTGATTAGTCTGAGGAATTCTTTGACACAAAGCAGTTGAGGCCAAAACATTAAACATTTCCAAGCAGAAGTTAGATACTGTTCTTAGAGCAATAGAGATCAAAAGTATGTGGGGAAAGGAGGAGCAGAGTCTGTAGTTGGATGGTCAGTCATGATGATATTGAATGGGCAGCCATGATTATATTGAATGGTGGAGCAGGCTTGAAGGGCAGATGGCCTACTCTCATTCCTAATTTTTAACATTATTGTGAATATCACCTGTCCTTCAGTCATGCATTCAACAATTAGATTCCATTTACTGAATGCCAATTTAATTGTGGTCAAGGTAGTAACCCAGAAGTTACCACCTTTATGGTGGTCTCTAATGTCTCCAGCTGCCTGTTGTCCACAAGGTATAACAAAGAAAGATATTTTGCTATATTGTTGCTACCCACATAGATCACAACATTCAGACCATTTCCTTCTAATATCTTGTTGGAGCAAGAAGAAACCTTGGTAAACCAGGTTATACATCCTTAAGAACCCAAATTCTTAGCTGTGGAGAACAGTAATATCCTTCCAGTATACCATCACCTACCTCAAATATATTCCTTTTCATTCCTTAAAACCGAATACCCCACTATACCTCAGCGAGATCACCTTGCCTGCAGTCTTTCAACCTCAAACTTTTACGTGTACAAGGACTCAGGTTTCTCCAGCGCTCTTTTAGCAATCCCCTTATCTGTTTCAGTCTTGTCCCTGGCCACAGACTAAATCCAATTTATCCAAGTGCTGAGGGTGACCTTATAGAGGTTTATAAAATCATGAGTAGGGTGATTAGCTGGTGTCATTTTCTCAGGGTAAGAAAGTCCAAAATTGAAGGGGACAGATTTAAGGTGAGGGGAAAGATTTAAAAGACACCTGAGTGACAACTTTTTCCACCTAGAGGGCAGTACAGAATGAATTGCCAGAGGATGTGGTGGATGCAAGTACATTGACATCATTTAAAAGGCATCCAGATGGGTATATGAATAGGAAGGGTTTAGAGGGATATGGGCCAAATGCTGGCAAATGGGACTAGATCAGTTCAGGACATCTGGTCAGTGCGGACAAAGTTGGATCCAAGGAACTGCTTCCGTGCTGTACAATTCTATGACTCTTGAAGTGGAATACTGCCTCCTGAAAGAGTCAGGAAATGCTTCCACTTCCCAATGCATTGAAGTGTCTGAAGCTCAGATTGACTCCAGCTCATCAAGTCAGAAATTCCATACTGTAGACACATTTCAGGTGTATTGATGTGGATAACACTGGTGTCCACTAGTCCCCACATGCTATAGCTGCAAAATACTACCTGTACATAGTTTCCCTATACAAAGGCATCGGTATTGTATGACTTTACATAAGAATACCTCAAGATACATACTCCTTTCTAACATAAGTTACTTTAACAAAACAAAAATCTGTGGACTTATGACAAGGGAGAAGTAATGATATCACTACACAAGTAATCCAGAGGCAGGGGCTAAAACCTGCAGACACAGATTCAAATCCTACTACAACAGCTGTTGGAATTTGAATTCATTGAATAACCCGATAAAGCTAGTCTTAGTATTATGACCACAATAAATATCTGTAAAAAACCCACCTGGTTCACTATCATCATTTAAGGAAGGAAATCTGCCATCCTTACCTGATCTGGCCTGTGTGCAACTCCTGACCCACAGCAACATGATTGACTCTTAACTGCCTTCTGAAATGGCAGAGCAATTAGGGAGAGGCAATAAATGCTGACATTGTCAGCAATGCCCAGCCTTAATGAAAGAGTGAAGACAGAATTTCAGGAAGGAAGTGGTTGAATCTGTTAAAAGGATTTTAGTGCTACTCATTTAGACCACCACTTATTTGAAAGTCTGCAATTAAAAGCACTGGATAGAATAAAAGGAGTATATGAGAAAATGCGAGATAACAAGGTGTAGAGCCGGATGAACACAGCAGGCCAAGCAGCATCAGAGGAGCAGGAAAGCTGACGTTTCGGGCCTAGACTATCTATGAGATGATGCACAAGTTTTAGTTGCTTATGATTGCTTAATGTTTCAGGCAATAGGCAAAGAACCAACGCTTACCCTAAAAGGGATAACACAATGCAAAATATCATCAGTTACTGAAGACTTGATCTGACCCAGCCACCTATAAAGGACGTGAATAAAAATCTAACTGGAATTGCAATAATCTTCAGAATAATGCCTTGATTCGGTGTTAGCAATCATAGTTGAAACTCCATTTTGCTTCCTATGTTACAAAAAAGTTTTAAAGGGGTGAGTACTCCATAGATGCTTATTTCAAACTTTAGAAAAGGTTTTAACTCCATTAAAAATGTCTAAGTGATTTTTAAATGTACCTAGATCAACTACCTCGACCCCAAGGCTTTTCTGATTTTAGGCCTCAGTTACTTCACTTCTTTACTCGGAAGATTTGAACATAATGTGAAGCCGATTAATTGCAACACCTCGAAAAACAATCTCACACTAAGTGCAATAATTGCACTTTCTTACCAGAAACGGTCCAAGTTTCAAATAGAATGTCAACTCAATCATTGCATTAACTGGTATTTCACAACAGTTAATATAGAAAAACAGCTATGGGCAGGAATGTTAAAAATTTTGGACAAAAAATTATTTTTAAATGCTCATGTTTACTCAGTTGAAAGATACCTGCCTTTATGTTGGAGGGGTGGGGGTCGTTGGATGATGGGAAGACTGAATTAACGTGGCGTTTGATAACTTTAAAAAACACTGGCCTTTTTTCACCTCTACGTGACCCGACGAACTTGTATTTTTACGCTATCGACCGATATGTCTTGTCTGTTCTTATTATTCGTTGCCTTTTAGGACTTTTTGTACAGTGTGTAAACCTAAAAAGGGTTGAGAACTAATCTCGGGGTGGAATCGGCAGGAGGTTTCGAACTGTTACAGTAACTGATAAAATCCAGCCCGGTGCAAACCCGGCACCAGGGCCAGGGAGCGAAAAAGAAAGAAAAACCCAGGCCTGTGCTCGAACTGGCCAGGACCTGGCTTACAGTCACTAGGCCCTTTGGAGACACGCGGTTGCTTTCTCTGCAGCACCGGGCCAGCAGCATGTTTGCTTATCCTCCCACCCCACTCCGCCGCAACACTGGGTGAAAAGGAGAGACCTGTGTTAAGATCCCTGCTTGAAGTCTACAACGCGACCTACAAGAGTCGGAATGTACGTACCTCCCCAGCCTGTAGAAGACAAGCAGAAAAATAAAAGCCGCCACTAGAATTATGCGGGACCACAGGGTTAAAACCCTGATCAATGCTCTCCCTGAAGTATCCAACCCTTTGACTACATCTGCAGCTGGTGACAACCACAAAGGGCAATACTGTGCCCCTTACCATGACCACCGACACCCTTCAATACCCACCACCTGCCCATGAGGCGGAATAAATCTCTCGGGGCTACGCTAGAATCAGCCTCATTTACCGGAGTCCTTCCCGGAGTAGACGGTGCCAATCCCGTTCTGCTCGCCGAACCGCGAGGACTGGAGTAGCCATCGGCTGCCGCTTGCGGCAAGACCCGGACCCCAAGGCCGCCGGCACCGATGCTATTCCCCGCTGCCCGCTCCTGTAGGCTGCTGTGCCCGGAGAGAACGGCAAAGACCCCGCTTGCCGCTGGTGAACCCCCAACTCCGGCCGAGGTTCTCCCCGGAGCTGCTTGGATTCCTTTCCGCATATTTTGCGACTTTGGAACGGTCTGTCCGTTCAGACCTTTCCCTCTGTCAATAAGTTATTTTTAATCTTACTCGCTCGCCCACCCTGAAAAAGAATAAAATACCCCCTGATCCCGGGAAGAGACAGACCCCGGTCGCCGTGTGTTCGGTCACCAGAGGATATGGTACGTGGGGAGGGGCAGATGCGAAAGATTTAAAAGTCCTTAAAACAGCCCCAAGCTCTGAAAATGGCTCCAGGAAGCTGACGATGAATGAAGGGAGACACTTTACGCGCGTAATGCCTCCCGCGAAACTCAGATTTCCCGCGGCTTTTTCAAACCTCATTTGCATGTCCTTCTTTTACCCATTGGTCAAACGCGTCCGGGTTCGCTTCCGCGTCTAGACTTCCCATTGGCTCACAAGCGAGCGGCTCTCGAGAGCTGTTCGAACGGGGGATCCCGTTGGCTGCGACGTTGTCGGTTGCCATGACACCGCAGAACGCTTCACGTTCTAGGAGATTCCTTCTTCTCCATTGTGACCTTTTTCACCCGGGTTTCCCCTTGAACCAGAGACATGTGCTCGCCCTGTTAGCAGACCCCAACAGCGATATTCTAATTTGCCCTCTATACTCAGGTTAAAGACTTTTCTTCACTGAATTGTTTGTGTGGTTGTACATATAATTCAAAAAGATCTCTTTCTCTCTTTTTGTTGACAATAATTTGACCAAACCACTAGATGGCGAAGACAATAAGGTGCAGGGCTGGATGAACACAGCAGGCCAAG